CTGCTGGGGCTGGTTAGTACCCAGTTCAGAGTGAACTCCCTCCAGAGCATCATAAAGCTTCCTGGACGACGAGTAGGCGCGTTCAAGCTTCTCCATGGCATCGTAGAAGCATTTTGTGATATCGAGGACGCCAGAAATATCCTGGTTCTCGTCCATAACAGGTAAGTGGCGGAAGCCCTTGCGGACCATGAGGTCGAGAGCATCGGTGGCGCTTGTGTCGGTCCGGGCGCAGAGAGGGTTCTTGGTCATAATTTCGGCAATTGTGACGTTGCTCGACTTTTGACCGGCCCCGACGACGCGGAAGGCCAGATCCTTGGCGGTGAAGATGCCGGCAATGCGGTCGTCATCATCGGTCACCAAAACGCAATCCTCCCGCTTGGCGGCCATGAGCTGGGCAGCCTCGGAAACAGTCGTGTTAGGCTTGATTTGAAGTGCCTGGCTGGGTTTGAGGGCCATGACAGTGCCCGGAGGTGCCTTGCGGGAGTGTCGAGCGCGATTCGTCAGGTGCTTCTTCTTGGAGAGGTCATTTTCCATTTTTCGCCGGATCGCCTGCCGATGGGTATTGAGATTAGTATTTCTTTTCTCGCATTGCCTGCAATATGCAACGTTTACAACGACTCAGTTGCAGGCATTGGAGCCTCGACGCCATGCAGCCCTCGGGAAGAGTCCTGTCAAGCTACGCACCTCATCACGCTTGCTCTGCTTCTGGCGACTAGCACTGACGGACGAGCCAGCCTCGGAGGGCTGCGACTCGCCGGCCGGTCGTGGAATACCAGATGCTGCAGGACTGTTGGCAAAGGGAATGTTGCCCCTGCCTTGATTGCGGTTGGGCGTCCCTCTCATTGTGTTGCCAGACATGGTGGGCAAAAGGAGAGCTTTGTGCGGGATGGCAGTATTATAAACACACAAAGGGAGGGAACTCGCGCTTCGCTGGCGGGGTGAACCGATGGTCTGGCGGGAATGATTTGCCTTTGCGGTGCTCGAAGACGAAGGTTTCAGAAACCTGCACAGACGCGCCGTTTGAGGGGTGGAAAAGACAAGAGCGCTCCAAAAGTTTATTTAATAATTAGGGCGGTGGGCCAGCTTGGAGATGAGGTTGAGGAGATTGTTCCTGTCCAAGCCCGCGGTTGTTTACAATGGTAGTAAAAGGGCAGGCGCGCCCACCTGCGGACTAACAATGGGCACTTTCGGGACGTTTACGACAGACACTCTTCAGTGCCTTGCAGCGGTCACAAGCCCCAACAGCCCGCTGGAGTGCGGATCCTCCAGCGCGCCCCGGCGGCCAATCTCCCCGACAACGTGCACTTCGCGCTAGTCCTCTCTGGGCCCAAAGAAAACAGGCAGTCGGCTATCAAGTTTAGAAACAACTATTTATGCGAGACGCAGACAAAGACACTGTTGTTGAATATAACTTGATAATCAAGCTTGAGTAGCCCTCTGGTTGCCGACTGCAACCGGGAGCCTGTTTCTCTGTATCTGAGAGTTCGTGGTGACGCGAGTAGCCCGGTTGACAGAACGGACCGAGGTCCTCGAAAAGTTGACGGACATATTCGAGTCCCTTTCGAAAGCGCTCGATATTCCCTGCTAGTACGGAGTATGAATTACGGATATAAGCCTTTCATTAAACTATGGCCCGTACTCTGTAAGCCTAGGTATCTAGATTCCCATACTAAAACCAGTCAATTCGGGACATCGATTTCATCATCAAATTCGGGTTTCGCATGTGGAACTTGAGTGCTCGTATTGGTTACTAGAGCCAGTTGCATCCTGTGCTCTACCGAGTCCACCAACGCTTGCATTATCATCAATTTTCACTCGCCCTGGGACTAGCCATTTGCTCGAATCAAGCCCACTCTACATAAACGTTAAGGTGCTCCCCAGACTGGTTGAACCTACAGACGTAGAATGCCCCCTCCTGCTTACAGTGCTATACCGGAAATCAAGACCGAGTGTCTTGAAGGATAGTTGGACACGGCCGAATATGTCCTCAGGCATGTCAAGCTCCCTGGCACTGATGATGAAGAGCCCGTCGGGTAGAAGAGCTTTATCGAGTTGGAGCCGTGGGTTGTGCTTGGCATAAATGATACGCAACCGGGAGCAGTGTTGTGTGGCGTACTCGCCAAGATCACAAAGCCACTTCTCATCGAATGTAGTCAGACTGTTAATATAGAGGTCTGGTTTAGTTTCTCCAACAAGAAGCCAATTCAGTCGTCGCATTCGTGGCGCGAGGAGCCTGCGTCCCACATCCTCGGAAAACTCGACGCGGGTGTCAGCAATCAGCGGCCAATAAACCAGAGTGAGCTCCTCGAGGGTGGTAAGTGAAGAGAAATCGATTTGATCTGGCGCAATGCGGATGTCCAAGTAAAGCACGACAAGAGTGTTATTGTAGGGTGAGAGAAGATTTTGCAAGTCAATCCTAAAGGAATGATGGTTCCGCGCTCTCAGACTCAGCTCTTTGAGTGATTTAGACCACTTGAGTAAAGATTTCATCGTCGCTTCAGGGTTGTTGAGGATGTCATGTAGTTGCAATTTCCGGAGTGAGGCTGTGTCATTGTTCTGTCGGTTGTCAATGAATAGCGTTTTAGCAGGGCTCAAGGTGCATTACCTGCAGTGAGATACACGAAGGGATTGACTCATCGCGGCAGACCATTCCACCAAGGAGCAATTCTTGTATCTTTGACGGATATTCTGTCAGAGCTCTAATTATGTTGCTTGGCGAGGTGTTTTTATAGGTGTCACGCACAGAAAGATGGTGAAGTGAGTTGGAATTGGCCAGTGCCAGCTTGATGAAAGCTAAGATCGTTTCGCGATGTAGAATAAAACTGCCGGACACAATGAGATGATTCAGATGAGTAGCCGAACCTAATACCTCCAGAATCTTTTTGTTAAGTCTTGCGTCGTTGAAAGAGCGCGGAGCCAATATCAACCTGAATTTTCGAATGTAGCGTCGCAAATAGGTCTTTTTCTTCAATGTTTGACTTATAGCCTCCAGTCCAGTCCAGTGGTTATCCCATGATTGTCGATATATGACATCGATGCACTTGTACAGGAGAGGTGTAGCGAGTGCGTTGAAGCGACGGTTCACCAAGGCTAGATCATGCAAGTCTTTCTTGGCCTTTCTTAGCTTCCTAAGATCTAGCTCCGTAGGATCTAGCCCCGTAAGAACTTGGGAATCAATCTCAGGTTTCTCAACAAGATCAAGTACTAGGGTAAAGATTTCGTTCGGCAATAAATTGAAGTAGTCTCGTGCATCAGAGTCAGCAACTTGGCTCTGCGTCACCACATCATCGCCGCGAGGGGTAGACATCGTTGCTCGAGAAGGCGGAGGACGAAAAGTTGAAAAAATCTTCAGAATGATGTAGGAAAGAGGCTGCGTAAGTAGCTGCGGTAGAGCTTTCCCTCTGTTTGTCATGCGCGTTTGCTTCACTCGTGGTGCCGGCCGACGGCTAGTTCCCTCATGGGGTCCGCTGCACGCGGTATTGAGTGAGCAAAACAGTTCTCTGCTAGGTAAGTCTCGATTATTGAGGAGAATTAATAATTATACAAGGCTTCAATACGTGGAAGACAATTATATCGTTGTTGATTCTCTGTTGCATGTGGCGACTTGATGCGATTGTTGTTGCCCATCTGGCGCCAAGCGATTCTGCTTCACACCAGCTCGTTTGTCCAGTTCCGTCTGCAGTCACTGACTTGCCGGACGCTCTGATTCTTAGAATGGTCTAACATTCCCGTACGAAATTCTTTCGTCACACGACCGGCACAAACTTCACTCAGTGGCAGTGACCACCGGAGTCAGACCAAACACCGGCATGGGCACCAACGGCCCTAGGGGCATCCAGGAAACTCGCGCGTCTTGCTTTTTACAGATGATGCAGCCAGCACGTTTGTAGCTCCCCGTGTATCGTGATTCAGGTTGACGTCGATTGCCTGACCTAAGAAAGTTGCAGCAACGCCTCGGCGTCCTGCTTCTCAAGCAGTGGCTCACGATCATACCCATCTGGTTCGACAATATTCCAGAGCATAGATATGTCATTTTTGATGGGATAGTGCTCTGCAATCATGGTTGAATAGTCAAGTGGAAGATGCAAAGACGATCCTGTTCAACGACGATGGTGTTGCGTGGGGTAAGGCCTTGGTGCATGATGCCATAGAAATAAGTGAAATCATCAACCACGGTGAGAATATGGCGAAGTCAAACGAGAGAGCCGTGGCGTCGCTGTTAAGGAGTGTGAAATCGGCTCGTGAATCCCACAATGCCACCTTAGCATAACCTAGGACCACGGCGCGAAACGGCACAATTTGTGAATGATCCTGCGGTAAAGGCTCCGGCACTAGAGCTCATACCATCGCGGGACATTTCGTTGGGAATGAACGAGTATCAAAAGGCGGCCTTCCTGATTGTGAAACTATCCACAACTGTCACGCCTTAACACGGGCACTAAGTCCACCTGTGAGCCTAATCAATCGAGGTCAGCCAGGGCTTCGACGTTAATCATTTTTAGAGCAAACGGTAGCTCAGTGCTAAAGGCGGATGACAGTTCACGCACATTGCCACGCCAAGTTTTCTGTTTGTGGTTGTCAAGATTGGTTCATCCGAGTCTGGAAAGCGAACTTCTCAGTCGTCTGGCGCAAAATTATCGACATGCTTACGGAGATTCGCCAAGGAAGCTTTTTCCGTTCCTACAGACTCTTCAATGACACTGCCAGGCGCGTAGCCAACGACCGCGTTTCTTCGTTGGTCAAAGTCAGTAATGCATCAAGTACAAGGCCCTCTCTCTAACGAGTTCCCGGCCCAAAGACATTCTTCAGAACTAATCATGACAAGGTCAGCATCGACATTGACTTGGGAAATTGAAAGGGTGCGAGACTGTGAGCGCTGATAAATCCGGTAGAGGTGCCATTTGGACGCGGTCTGCCTTCCACCCATGGCAAGTAGCTCACACTCGTGTCGCTTACCTCTTAGTAACTAATTGCGCTCTCTCCAACATCGAAATACAGCTGGGCGAATGGTTTAGTGGTATAATACTCCCTTAGCATCTGCTGTACAGCGGGTACAACGATTGGGAGTGGTCCGGGGTTCGATTCCCCGTTTGTCCACACTTGATTTCTCTTTTTGCTGCTTTCCAGCAGCCAAATCGCGTTGGCTGCAAGCATCTCACTTTACTTTTTTTTTTTTTTTTCCTGAGTACTATCGCGAGCTCTTTTGATGGTTTGTTTTCGAGATTTACATAGGCCGTCTGTCAATAATTGCTCCGACCAGTAGAAAGCCCACGCCAGTCTTACACCGGTCAACATATGAACAAATTAACAAAGAGTAGTCCTTTTCTCATATATATATAGCATACTGTAGCAAGTATCAAAAGAAAAAATCACAATGCAAGCGTCTATTGGACGTAGTTCATTCCGCACCCCTTCACCTAAGATGACTGAACCTGGGTATCGCATGAGTAGCGCTGAAAATATATACTTGTTTTCTTTTTCTTTTTTTTTTTCGAAAATTCCTCGTTCAAGGCAATTAAACCTTTACTTTTTGAAAGCCAGCCTGGGTATAACGCGACGCAAAAAAGAAAACGAAACTGAGGGCCATGGAGACGCCGCAAAACAGCTGCAGGCCAATGTAGTCTCCGTGCTGGCGCAACACAATGGCACCGCCAATGGGGCTGCCGGTCAGGCCCCCAAATGCCATCACGGCGAAAGCAGTGCCGACGCGCGTACCAATGTAGCGAATGTCGGAGACTTGCGCAATCAGCGGAGGGGCGAGGGAGACGAAACCGCCCGAGGAGAAGCCAAAGAGGGCAGCAAACACGACGATGCCCGCCGTGGAGGTGATGGGAATCCAGATGGCCAGAACAAATACGGCAGACGAGAAGGCGATGCAAAGCATCACGTTGAAGCGGCCAATCTTGTCGGCGCCGATACCGGGTAGAACACGACCGAAGATGCTGATGGCATTGAGAATGGGTAGCAGGTAGGGGACCAGTTTCTGCGACATGCCGGCAGCCTGCGCCTGGAGCAGGATGTAGTTAAAGGGAAGAAACATGCCCCACATGAAGAAGAAGGAGCCGACAATGGTTAGCACCATCTTGGTGTCCTTGAAAGTGTCGAAGTACTCTTGCAGGACAAAGGGCCGCGGCTTGGGCGAGAGCCGCGACTTGACAGTGAGATTGACGATGAGGAGGAGGATGAGAAACAAGAAGGCGACGGCACGAATGGTCCATGGGAAGCCGATGCGCGGGATGAGGTGGTCCATCATGATGGGCAGGACGACGCCGGCCAGCGACGAGCCCGAGGCCATAATGCCGAACGCAGTGGCGCGGTTCCTATAAAACCAGGTGACGAGGCTGGACATGGAGGAGTGGAAGATGGCGCTAGAGCCCATGGAGGCGAGAATGGACTGCGCGAGGAAGACTTGGTAGTATTCCGTGGCGAGCGAGGTCATCATGAGCCCAAAGATGTAGACGACGGTACCAATTCGCAGGATCCATTTCGGGCCAAAGTTGTCGTAGAGACGGCCGATGACGATGCCGAGGAAATTCATCATGAAGACCTGCGTCGAGGTAATCCAACTGACGGTGGAGGAGCTGTAGTTGCTGAGGGTATGGGAGACATAGTACTGCTGGAAGACGCCGACGCAGTTGATGAGGCCAAATGTGCAGAAGAGGGCGCACCAGCCGCCAAACACGACGAGCCAGGCGTCGCGGCCGCCGTCGGGAAAGTCTTGGGGAAAAGGGCCGCTGGCGGGCGCGACGCCTGGTGACGGTGCGCGCTCGAGGTCGTGGGCAGCCTTTTCGGAGGCATAGGCGGCGGCGTTACTCTCAACGTTCGGCTCATCGTAGGCCGTGGCTGAGGACAGGGAGCCCGACTTGGACCGGCCCATTGAAGCAAGGTGTCACCGTGTCAGATATCCGAGACAGTATGCCGGGAGCCGACCAGGTACCAGTGTAGAGCGGACCGAAATAGGGCTCAGAGCTCCCGTTGAGAGGGAGAGAAATAAATAGAGAGATGAAGCGAAATAAATAGAGAGATGAAGCGAAGTAAATAGAGAGTTGAAGCGAATAATTACGAATGATGCGTGTTGGTCTGATTTACCTGATCTGGAGCGGGTTTCCGAGAGCAGTCAGCATGTTAGAGCGTATAAGCTGTCGTCGTGTTGCGTCATATCATGACCGCCGGCGGAGAAAGAAAGCTTCACTAAATCGAGTGTCAACGCCGTCGACTTTGGGAAGAGAAATCGAGATAAAAGAACTCCAGGCAGCGCGAGATGGCAATTATAAGAAGATTGGCATGGAGCTAACGGCCCATGCTAACAGGTCCGTCGCAAGTAGACGGCTCGCGTCCAGGCCCAAGGCCGAGCAAGTGGGGGGATAGGCAAGGCAAACAACAACCAGCAGAGAGAGGAAGAGGCTGACGGGCTGATGTAGCTGACTGTACTAACCATGTCTGTCGAAGCACATGGGTGATGTAGGGACGATCCGTCAACTCGATTGTAGATGGAGAAGGGTGAGCGCGTCCTACAGCCATGACGAATGAAGCTTGTGTATTGAGAGGGAGAGGGTGACGCAGAGGTCCGCGGGCCAATGAGCCGAAATCGTGATGGTCTTATGAGGGTCGGTTCCATAGCAGAAGCTCGTTTATTTCGCTGTCTGGGTGCTTGATTTCTGATGGATGTGGCTTGCAGGTGGGATACAAGACGATTGCAAACGGCCCCATGCGGATGATTTATATTTAAAGTATTTAGCCCACCGGCCATACCCGCCTCGACCAAAGCCGCCCCCCCCCCCCCCCCCCCCCCCCCCCCCCCCCCCCCCCCCCACCCCCCCCCCCCCCTTCCCCGCCAACAAATCTCCGCCGATCAGGCCCTCTTGGCATCCAACGGCTGACGCTTGACGGCCCTATGCGTCGTTGAACATCTGGTATTCTCTGCAGATTTCGACGACTGCAGCCAGCTACGGCCCAGCCGATGGCACGCGCTCCCGAGACAGGCGGCCTGTCCTCGACTGATGCCAGAAATGCTAAGAAAAAAAAAAAGGCGTCCACGTAGGAATACCCTGCCACTATCCGTACTTGTGTCAAACAATCTGATTGCTGGTGCTGGAGATGCACGCGCCCGCTACTACTAACGTTGTGGTTTGCTACACTATCAATAGAGATTTGGGCATCTGCGTCTACCCGTATTTTTCGTTGGACTTTGTCCAAATTTGCGTCAGCATCCTGGACCAGGGAGAGCCCCCCCCCCCCCCCCACTCCAATTAGATAACTCTCAAGAGATCGGGCCTCCGTGGCCGCGAGCTCCGACTCTGCACATCAAGACGGGCCGCGATGCATAGTCGTGCCGCCTTTTTCTCGCCTCTGGATTTCTGCTGATACATTTTTCCCGTGTTGGTTATCAAAGTAGTCTCCTGTTTTTCGACGCGGCCCCAGTGTGGCACATTCGGCGTGGGAGACTCCACGCACGTCTGATCAAGTTTGCGCTTCGGCGTCAACAGCCTTACGACCGTAGCACGGCGATGCTAGACTACCTATCGACTGGCATGAAAGTCCAGTCAGATACTGACCGACCAAATCCCTTGGAGTTTGCTACAGCCAAATCTAGTTTAAGCGTGCACTCTCAGCTATGCAAAAATTGTCCATATTCACGTGGCTGCCTAGGTCTTCCACCAGATACGCTGCGGAGGGAGGGATGGGCGAGATCCGACATCATGCACAGTGGGTTGACAAAAGTTCTGTACAGTTAGTCCTAGTACTACCTAAACACATACACTTTAACTATTAAGAAAATAATAAGTATAAATAATAAAATTATTTTTAAAATTAAATTAAATTAGCTTTTACTTTATTTATTTTGAATTTTTTTTTAGAAAAATAATACTTTTTTTTTTTAAATATTAAAGTTTAAAAAATATTTTTATAATATACTTTACTAATAAAATAATCTTTAATTAAAGTTTTTAAATTTTATTATTTTTTACTTAATAAATAAAATATTTAAAAATATATAAAAAATATCTAATTTTAGCAAGTATCTAGATATTTATATAATATTTTTTTATAATTTTAAGAGGTTTTTATTTATAAATATAATATATTAAAACTTATAAAATACTATATATTAGTGTGACTAAGTGAAACTTGATCTCCCCACTATAACTAGTTAAATAGTTACCAGGTGCAGAAATAATACTATAACTCTGAGCAAGTAGTGTCTAACCATATTAATCTCGAGACTGATTACGTTTTGGTCAATCTGACCTAGGCTTGATATTCCTTATGAGTGTTAACAATATCAGTTCAAAAACCTGGCGCACAAACTCTACTCGCCATCCATCGTCGCGGCCGTAGCGTTCATGTGTTTGTATCTTATAATGGAACTGCTGTGTGACCAGAAATAACGACTTGCCAATCCGGTACTCGGTCAGTGCGGTTTACTGCGTGCCGGATGCTTCCAGCACGCATGCCAATCCGCGCTCGTGAACCGTGGATAAATGCGCTCCAGGTGAGCCCTGCCAGTCGTCGTGCATCTCCTTCGAGGTACTCCGTAAGTGCTTTGTTGAATTCGTCGATACAAGCTCGCCAAAGGGTGTTGATGGTTTCCGCGCTGCTGGTGTCACTGGTGGCAGCGTCCGTTGTCAGCTTGATGAGGCTGTCGCCGCGGGGCCACATGTTGACAAATTCTTCAGTCAGAGTAGCAATACTGGAGATTACATGTTCAGCACTGCTTGAGCGGAACGGTTCAACGCTCAGCCCGGGGATACATTTCTCCAAGACGTCCACTGCGTCTTGCCATGCATTGGTGCATCTGGCTTCAAGCTGAGCCCCACGAGCGTTGAGGAGATCGCGGAACATTCCAAATGCATATGAACGTGGGACCCCCGCGGCCGCGACCAATGCGGCCAGGCGAATGCCTGCAGATGCCCCGGTAGCAACAAGGATATGCACACTTAACAGAACTAGACATTCCGCAACACACTCGTGGCATCCGCCTTTCGGCATAGCGGCGCTGAGGGCATAAATGCTGTTGAGGCATACTCCTTTCGACACGTCGTATCGCTCATCCAGCAGATCGTGTGAGATTTGCGCCGCCATTTGAGCTAGTTCGA